AAAAACAACTTGATTTATCTTGTCTGGCTGCTGAGAAATGCGAGCGTCTCGCGTGACGCGTCGCCTCTGAGATGCTATATTTGATTATCTGAGATCTTTATTTCATGTGTGAAAACTGATCCCCTTTGAAGCCTCACTCGGAGGCAGAGCAGCGCTTCGCCACCTCACATCAACACTCTCTATCTTGGCTGCATCTCGGGGCGTCGTGCGCTACGGCTACGTGGGGCTTTGCAAGAGGCCGTTTTAACGCCGCTGGAAGGTGAGGAGCACTCCAGCTGAAGAACCGCTTAAAAAAGCTGAGTGTTTCTGATGACTGGTGGGCCGATTGCGGGATAGCCACTGCTCCAGATCGGCCCTTTTGAACGTGCCTCTGGTGAATCTCAGTTTACTCCTGGGGCTGGTGGAGAGGGACGGGTATTTCCTCTCTTGAGGTCCTCTGCGAGTAACTCTACACCACCAGCTAATTTGCAGCTCTAAAAACCAAAGCAAGCTTTCTTTTTTGTTTGTTTGCTGATGTCTTACTTCTCAGTTTTCAACATTGGGGGGGCTGTGTGTGCACTAGATTAAATAAAACAACAATCTCATGCAGCTGTTTTCTCCATTAGTGTTTCATAAACTTCAGCTGGGGGGGGGTTGATGGTGCCAGCAGAGCTTCTGTTGCTCCAGAGGTCCGCCGCCGCTGAGCCCTGGCGAGCGATCAAGGCGAGCTGTCGCCGGCCGCATAAATTGTCGCCAGTCCGCGTGGTGGGTCGCGGAGGCAGACAGCGTAGAGACCAAGAGGCCTCGTGGGAACTTCCCCCCACAATCTCATACAAGTACATATTACCCTTTTAGTTTTTTTCAAACGTACTCTCGTAGTAGGGAAAAGAAACTGGGCCCAGTGGGTCGGTGTCTACAGCGGAGGAGGACACATGAAGCGAAAGGCTCTTTTCTTTCTGGTCCAGCATTCCCTCGCTGTCCTTTTTTCTACGGTACTTATTTTGACCCAGGTAGGCGAGCAGAGCGCACTGCTCCTTGATGAACAGTATAAACAGCAACATGGCATTTTCATGCATTATCCAAAATAATGTTAATAAAAAATAACGTCATGGCTTCCTCCTTTCCGTTATTGAGGGACAGGCACTGACCTTTGCCACTGTATCGTTCCACGCACCAAATCTTTGTCTGCGTGTATTACATTCACAAGTTAGGAAGAGTTGATTCTGAACGCTCTTATATGTGAGCACTATAAGGAAGTTTATCTCCGCTATTGATGACTATTAAGTATATTCACTAGTTGCCATTAATAAATTCAAAGACCTAATGCTTTGGAGCTTGACTATTAAATAAAACCTACGGGGGGGAGAAGGTCGATCAACGTTTATATATTATATATATTACGACTTGGGAAAGTGTTTATAAATGGCATTATTCACATATGTGCTAACCTGGCTTTGCTATATCCAAATTCTTTTTCATGAAATAGGCATTGATGAGGGTTGCCCAATGGTTGCAGGCCCAAAGCGGCCTTCAGGTTGGCGTGTAATGCAGATAGGATGCTGTAATGCAGCAGGCACACCGTGTCCTGTGTTACAGTATCACAGTTTAAACCACACAGGGGATGCACCTCTTCTCCTCAAAGCTGTGAAGAAGCTCTGAAGGACCCGACCGCTGATAAAAGCAGGATGCTTCATCCAGCCGTCTCCACAGAACAGTGAATGCGGTATCTGGAAAAAAGTTTCAGCCGATCCCAGGTGGCGTGGAAAGGTTTAATTTGTGTCCCGACGCCACCGCTGACCTCTTAACCTCTGAACCCTGGTGGCACGCAGGGAGGCAACCGAGACGAGCAGCTACAAATGTGCTGAATTACTAGTCACATTGTGTCGATTTTGGCGTTGAAGGTCACCGCCTCATCTCTCCATCGTTTGAGCTGTTTTGCCAAAGGGGGAAAGTGAGGGCTTCCCCCATGGCCTGAAATGCTCTCCCACACTGACCTTTGACCCCCTCTAATAAGGGGTCTCATGAGGTACCCGTCACTAGCTCATTGGCGGCTGTTTTGTGGTTACTGTATGTGTGCTAGAATTCACTAAGTCTTTGCAAATGTTGCATCAGTTGAGCCTCGTCTCTTACTCATTAGTGTGGAAATCGCTTCGGAGGGGGATGACCAGCATTGCAGTTTCAGCCAAATCCGCTTTGAGCTCTTGCATTTCAAATCAAACTGGGGGATGTGAGTTGGCGCTTTCATCCTTCTTGGCTTAGACAACTGGATGGATGTACTATCTTGTCCAACACCAGCTTTAACATGCAGTTACTATACAGTTATTGCTACTGTCTTCTGTGTATATACCTCCGTCCTTTGCTTTACATGCAGCTTTATACACTTTTAAAAAACATTTGATAGAAAAACTCTATTGGTTTTGGCGAAAACCTTCTCTTCATCAGGCTTTTGTATGTATTGGTGGAGTCTATGAAACAAAATAGGTGGAGCTGAAAGGGAGATGAAAGATTTAGAACCGGTGTTTGTGATAATCTAAAAAGAAGGCCAGAGCCATCTCAGTTACAAACTCCGGAGTCCCTTCTAACTATTTGTGTCATTCAAGTTACTGGTTATTGGCATTAACCCCTTTACCTACAAGATGGATGACGTGAATAACGTGGCAGGAAAATTGCATTTCTGTCACTAAACTCGAAACGAGCCTCTCATTGTTCGGCCCACTTATCGGCTGGTGGGAACGCAGGAAACTCTGAAGCAAACACTTTGTATTTTTAGAACTCGTTCATGAGTTTCTTTTTTTTTTTAAACTTTTTTTTTATGAACTGAACAATCGTATTAATCCGAGCCAGAATCCGAAGGGGTGGTGGTGTCGTCGGGTCAGTCTGGTTCTCTTCAGAGGCAGTATCACAGCAGATTGTGAGGATGGGTCTCTTGTCTTATTATTATCTGAGGAAATGGATGCAGTCTTTGGTTCGGATTTGTAGCGGAGGACAAATACTCGTCGTTATTTCTTTTGATGAAACGCACACACTTGTCATTATCGTGTGATGTATGAAGTCGAACGCTTTCTAAATCAGGTTGCGAGGAGAGCTGTCAAATTCAAATCAACGCATTGTGAAGAATAAGCAATCTCCGTTAGTTCTTTGTTTCCTTGTCTATAATATATGTTTAAGTAAAAAAAGGATGGCATATTTCTATTCTTGTTATTTACACTGACCAGAACATATCCCAGAGTAACCCCAGCACGCACTAATAATACGACTCCCATCCATCACCGCAGACAACAACCAATTAGCACATTCCTCTCCCCCCTTTTCTCATGTTCCTGGCTAACCCCGCAATCATTTTGGAGCGTTCATCAAAAAGCAAAAAAAGATGCTGTGTGTGTGCGTGCGCTTTTCTTTAAGTCTGGGAAATCGAAGGAATGTTAAATGTGCACAGATTTTTTTTTTCTTCTTTGAGGCTACGTGGTGGAGACAGAGGCCAGTGTTGCTGGATCATTTGGATCGACCCGGGTCTGTGATCTGTCTGAATGGGTCCAAACGCTCCAACCAACCCTTACCCTCCTGACCGTCCTCCTGTCCTGGGTTGCAGGACACCGTGTGTGTGTGTGTGGACGCCTAAAATGAATTATGTGATGTCACTCGCATGATGAATAATTCTATGGTTTGGCGGGGAAATATGTCTCAACTGTGCTGCAGACTGGAGTCTCTGCTGAGGGTGACAGCCTGTGATTAACCTGTGACAGCTGACTCCTGTGTAGGTTGAATCGTTTCTCTGCACACTAGACAACTGTCCAACAAATAAACTGAGAATCAGTATCAGACCCTTCCTTCCATTCAACTCAACAAATGGAAGGCTTGTTGAAGTACTCCATTCATTTAACATAAATAAATTGCCTATTGAAAACGATACTTTGGGTTAACTGTTCGTCTTTCGTTGCCTTGTGGCCCTCAGCATGAAGTGAATCGACTATAGTCGATTGAAGTTGGTCCTCCTCGGAATGAATGAATGAGATCGCATGAACAATATTTGCCGTGTCAAAAACACATCAGGCTATTGGGCCCTTCGCTTTTATCGTTGTTCATCCCAACAAATCTCAGTACCAGAGTCATGTAGCGAGATCGGGGGGAACATGTGTCGACTCGTTCATACCGACGACAGACACGCGGCCATGACGGGTTGTTCGTCAGTCTGACAGCCAGACAGCTCTGTGGTTCGCTGTATTCTCCTCCCGAGGCCACCGCAGCACCTTCTACCTTTCTGGATTACACAAAAATCCCCTCCCGCTGACCCACACACACTAAACACCTTCCACTTAATATCTAAGCATCGTATGAAGTTAGTTAGTTATTATCACGGTTAATCATTTCCATTGATAACTGTTATAACTGATAACTGATATTTACGGTACAAATGCTTTTGTACTGTGTGAGAGTGTTGGAATTTGTGCGAACCGCTGTGTGCATGCATGCATACCCGTCTCTCGACCCCCCTGAGTAGCGTTTTTTGGGGGGGGGGGGGGGGGGCAGGTGACTGCGATGCCGCATGGATATCCGAGCCGGACTTTTCCATAGTGAAGCCCGGGGATCACATGTCCCTTCGGCCCTCTGCGGTATGCGCTAACAGACAGAGGAGAGCGGGTGGGAGAGTGGGGGTGAAAAAAGTTTTGAAAAAACAAAAACAAAAAAACCAAGCCTCTGAACGCGTTGCTGCAACAGAAATAGCCCAGCCCAGTTTCCCAGAATCCTGCAGGGCCGACGGCAGCGATTCAGATGCTTCCTTCACAAGTCGTCTCCGTTTGCTTCAGTCCTGCAATTACGCCGTCCTCCGAAACTTTCCGCTGCTCTTTAATCTCCGAGCGCAGTTGTGAAACTTGGTTCATATATAGATGTGTAAGCATGTCGCTGCTCTGGATACGCGTCGTTAAAGATGTTTGTTTTTTGATGCGACAGAAATCTGATGCTTCTCCGTTACACGAGCTGAAACGGTGATTTATGCGTCCGCTTCTGTCTCTTTCTGTTAGCAGGATGCCATGGACGAAGCATGTGCAGAGAGGATCGGGGATGAACACTACCGTCTGGAAGGTAGGCCCTCCACCAAAGGCTACACCAGCTCACGCCACTGCTTTCCCTCCCCTTTATTTTAATTTAAAGGAAAACCAGTTTGTAAAAGCCCTCTAGGTACTTGTGTGGTTCTTTTTTTTTTTTTTTTTTTTTGTAGTTGTTCCCCTCTGCTCCACACCCATTCTCTAAGCCCCGACGATGTGCTGATGAGGTCCTCTTTACTCTGCCCTCCCGCATCTCCACCTCCTCCATCTTTCATCTGCCCCTCCCCCAGTGGTGCTCTGCAAAGTGCCTCGATGCCTTCATGTTTTTCCCCGATGTGAGCCAGGATTAAGAGTTCCGGGAGGAGTCTCTCCCTCCCATTAAAAGACGGGATTGGGCGCGAGGATGAAGTGGAGTGTTGGAAGGGCGGCAAAAAAAAAAAAAAAAACAATTTACTTTTTTTTTTCCCAGCTCCGCTTCACTGGATGAAAGACTGAAAAGTAAGACGAGAGATAAGGCCACCGATAAACACGAGTAGTAAATTAGTTGCAGACGTCGTGCCGAGGTTGTCCTCCCTTCAGGACAGATGTTGCTCATTAGAACGCTCTGCTGAAAAGACCAAAGGCCAAAATCGGTCGCTTCAATAAAAACATTCCGTGGATTCTGGCTCGATATTTCCATAACAGGCATCTAAAAAAAATCTACAAACTCCCTCAGAGTCAGCGAGGGAGGAGGAGAAACAGTCATGTTTGTGGACGGAGGAACGTCACAATACCAGAACTTTTGGAGTGGGCTAATATGAGATCTCAGTCAAGGGGAATGGGACACTGTTTTCATTCCCTGGCTGTTTTCAAGCTTCATGCTCATGGCTCATATTATGAATATGAGAGACACTTTATCTAATATTTAATTTAAGAAAAGGGTTCTTCAGTTTAGTTTTAGAGCAATGACACGGCATTTTGTACCCAACTAAAGACAACAGCAAAGACGAATGAGAGCAGAGATAAGACGACCAACACTCTTAAAAGCCGCTGTTCATCTGGCCTTAAGGAAGCACTCGGTAATGAGGAAAGGAGGGAAGAAAGGCTGGATGATGAAAGGGTCTTTATGTTGCTTTACATCATTACTGCCAGCATGCAGGAAGAAAATCCTACACGGGCTTCTTCTTATTAAGTTCTCTTAACCTTTCGTGAACAATGGAAAAGTTTGTCTCTGATGAAATGATACACTTTGCGTGTGGGCAGGTGGCCTCTGAAGGAAAAGACCATTTCTCCTCGAAGTCCGTCCCGTCCCAGAATCCCCTCTGGTGCCCAGCGCCTAGTGTACGAGGAGCTGCGAGTGCTACAGCAGCCTAGATGGGCTGTGTGTGTGTGTGTGTGTGTGTGTGTGTGTGTGTGTGTGTGTGTTGGCGCGGAGGCCTCGGCTGCCCTCGTCGTGCGCCTCAGATCTGACTTGCAGCCAATGCCCCGGCTGGGCTCCTCTCATAAAGACTCTGCTTATGTCTGTGGTGGCGGTGGGTGGAGGAGGGTGATAGCAGATTACTGGTACTCCTCCCGGCATTTCATTAGCTCCGAGATAAGCATCTCACCGCCACGTTGAGCCTGCCACGGAGCAGATTTGCCCCCCGCTCAACAACGTTCCCTTTGAGCACCTCGGATGATCAAACAGCGGGACCCCAAATGCTGCTCCTCTCCAAAAAGTTGGTAAAAGCTCCCTGGGACGATGCCTTTCATTTCTGGCATTTCCTCCTACCCGGGGATGAGACGGGTCCGCTTTGATCTGCTTTGGATCGGGAGGAAAGAAAATGAGGCTGTTGTGTCTGCTCCGTTGGCGAGCAAACAAACAGTGTTTCAGATTCGACTTGGCTTAATTAATTAGCGATTCTGTTTTACAGCCGGTCTGATCTGCTTCCAAAAGGTTTGAGATCAGAACTTCAAAGCGTGGCAGAGGAGAGCGGAGCAGTGGAGGGAGAGGGGTGTGGTCTGTGCGTGTGTGTGTGTGTGTGTGTGTGCGGCTCGTAGGACTGCGATTGGGTGAGGGGCGCCGATGATCATTTCAAGGATGAATGACGAGAGGTAGAACATACAGCGGGTGTGGCTGAGTGGAGGCTGAGAATGAACGAAGTGACTCTAGATCCACCGTGTACACTACTACTATTCCCCCCCCACAGTTTCAACTGTTACCACAAACCGTGCAAGTGTTCAGTACATGTAGAGGCAACTTGGATCAACTGGCTCCAAAGAGAACGTTTTGATTGAGAGTGCCAAGCTGTGCTTACGTCGCACCGCGTATCACGAGTAAACCGTAAATAAACCCTACTGGCTCACGGCGGCCAAACCAAATTTTTAACTCCGAGCTCTGAATAGCCGGTTTTAAAATGTAATGTTTGTGATCCTCTGTACGCGTCACTTATGCCAAACCCAACAGCTGCTTTTAGAAGATATTTAGCAGGCTACTTGTTTTACAAATATTAAAAACACAGGCTCCGAGTACAAGCAGTGCGACTGTTGGGCCGTGTGGGTTCATCTCCCACCAGGAGCACTTGAACACGCGACACATCTTAATCGCGGCTGCCAAACTCGGAAGTAGGAGTTTACAAGGAACACTCGGCGGCGACGACGTATCCTCAGGTTACGACTGCACCCAACGTTTCCATCCTCAGGCGCTCTCTTTTATCTTTGTGCGTGTGTGCGTGTGTGTGTGTGTGTGTGTGTGTGTGTGTGTGTGTGTGACTGCCTGCAGTGGCTTTACCCCCAGAGAAGTCTGGCAGATGCTGCGTGGAGGAGAAGATGCAGCAGAGGGACAGCCAATCACCCGCAGGGGCGCAGAAACCGCTCCAGTTTGAAGTGAGTGTCGTTTTATATGACCCCCCCTCTCCCTCCTCCTCTGGATGAAACTGGGGCAATGGCAGAACACGCTGACACGCACACACGCCGGGTGACGCTGACGCCTCAGTGCGGCTGTGTTTTCAGGAGCTTGAGTGCGCCGTCTCCGTGGAGGAGGATAACCGGCAGGAGTGGACCTTCACGCTCTACGACTTCGACAACAGCGGCAAAGTCACCAGAGAGGTAATGATCTCCGTTTCCTGGGAAGACACCGACTGAATACATGTGAATAAACATCTTCTTGGTAATTGTTGGAGGTGACATCTTTTAGGACAGACCTCCAACCAAACATGACTACACGGGCCGGTTTTAGTTGTTCCAAAAACGCTTCTGGTCAGCAGCTCACAGCTGCAAAACACAGGACGGTTAATTGAAAACTTCCCCGTACGTCCTACAATCCGCTGTATTGTGTCGCCGTACACCTTCCAAAAAAATAAAGTGAGGACTGAAGCATCAAACCCAATCTCAGCGCCCGTATCCGCTCCCGCGAGGCACCTCGTGGCTTTGCGTCTGCCTGGTGCGGATCTGAGGGGGAACATCCAGAAAGGCCCGTGTTTTTTTTTTTTTTCGAGAACGACTTCACACGGCACAAGGAGACTTGAGCGGTCCTCGGCGCGGTTGGCTGTGCAGCTTTTTCGGCGGTGCCTGTGGCTCCGCGGCTCAGGAGACGGCAGGCGGCGGTGAGAAGGGGGGGGGGGGAAGAAAAGCTTTTCTTCTGCAACTGTCTTTTTTTATTTATTTTTTTATTCCTTTGCGCCATTTGGGGAAAAAAAAGGGAAAGCGAGTGAAGGAAACCAAGTGACACAGGAAGCTTTTATTTTATTTCATTTAACTTTTTTCCTACAGTGCGTCTGTGTCTGAAACCGGTATGTGGAACCGGGCCCTGAAGAATTCACAGCAGTGCTTTTTTCTGATGATTCAAAGTGACGCCGTTGGAGTCTTTTGTGAGGGTGTCTGCTTAATTCTCAGCACTTCTGTCAAAGGTGCTCTGCCGGGGAAACCGTGTTCCCATCGACAGTCGAAGCGCTAATGAGAATAGAGACACCGCTTGAGACCGCTCATTTCACATCGACACCAGGCGGCATTTTTTCAAGACAAATTTAAGATTGCGGTTGGCGTTTGGAAAGATCCGGCACGCTTGCTGGCACCCAAGAGGGATCCATTATCTCAGTACGGGGCACAAAACCCCTCATCAGTTTAAAAGTATAGCTTCTAAACGCCACAAGAGACTGCGTTACTTTAAGCGCAATGGAAGCTGTCCAAATAGGAACTCTATCCGAAATCGCCACCCGCGCATCCCTGTGGTTGAGTTTTTTTGTGTACTTTTTTTTCCACTTGGAAAGCCGAAGTGAAACGACTGACATCAGTAAGTTTCTCTGCTCTCCCGTCGCCGAGCCGCTTCTTCAAAATTCTAGCACGCATGACACTTATGAGGAACATCGAGTTCAAACCGTCCATTTCCTGTTTTAAAACACCCACCTCATCGTTGATCCAATGATTCTCATCTCTCCTACGCGGATGCTGGGTACTCCTTTTTAACCCCCCCACCCCCCCTCCTGTCCTGCAGGACATCACCAGCCTGCTGCACACCATCTACGAGGTCGTGGACGCCTCCGTCAACCACTCTCCCAGCAGCAGCAAGACGCTGCGGGTGAAGCTGTCGGTGGCTCCCGACTCCAGCCAGCGTTGGAGGAGTTGCACGCAGGGCGCGGCAGGTAAAGCTTGCGTTATCGGGGGGGGGGGAACGGGGGGGTCTCGTTGCGTTTCGGGGGTCCCCCTTATGTTGCCTGCTGTCGGCTCATCCGGAAATGCGTTTGTTGTCGCGCAGAAAGTCGGCCGCTTCAGGCCCGTCGGAGCTTTGTTCCTCGCGGTGTCGGCGGCGCTCCGTCTCTGCCGCTCAATGGGGGTTCATTTTTAATGATGGGGGGGAGTGACAGAGCTAAGACAGGAGCCACCCCCCCCGACCGCCCCCCAAGCCCTCATCCCTCGCTGCCTTCAAATGCGCTGAAAGAAACCTTAAGAGATGTGCCGACTCCTTTTGATAACCGCAGCTATTTTTCTTTTCTCCAAAGTTCCCTCTTCTCCTCTCTTCTCCCCTTTCTTTCTCAACGCCCCCCAACCTCCTCAGAGCTGCCGGGAAAATATAGCTACATTCAACTTAACTTTTCTCACTGACGACTCGGTAAACAAGTAGTCTGGGAAAAATATCTCAAAAAGTATATATTCCTGTGTATTTGCTTCCTGTTGTCTCGGCTATAAATATCCACCGAGAGATTCAAACAGAGCGAGCTTTGAAAATATCGCCGGTTTTCTTCATGCTAATTTGAAACGGCATCAGATCTCCGAGTCCTTAATAAACTATTTGTGAAGTCTGCATGCTTTTTTTAAAATTTTTATTTCCCCATTCCTTATAAGAGTCTGGGAGTTGAAAATAGAATAAATGAAGCATTGTTGTTTTCCTTTTCCATAGATCTTCAAAGTAAAACCCCAAAACAAAGGTTGCTTGTGTGACTGTTGTCGTGTGTGCGTGCGTGCGTGTGTGTGTGTGGCTGCTCTCTGTGTGCATCTCTTTGATAATAGCCTTGTGTCTTTCATACACAGACATGTCCCATCCCAGGGAGAAAAACGACAAGTGCATAGAAGAGAAGAGTGCGGACAAGAAGACTCGAGCCCTCTTAAGGTAAAAAAAACAAACATCGATCTCTGATGAAATTTGAGGTGTCAACAAGAAGAACGTGAAATTCATTGCTGTCCTGTATCACTGATCTTAAGTGACTTTTTAAAATGGAGAGCTTTCTCCTGGCTAGGGTCAGTGGTTGTTTGAGGAAGGATTCACACCTAAGATTAGTTTAATTAGTTTTACCCCAAATTGACTCCCATTTTACCGAGGAGAGGCTGCGCGTCTCAAATCCTCCCGGGGCGAAGTGTAAACCTCTGATTATCTCGTCACAATCACCTCTTATGATCCCTGCTGATCATAAAGGAACACTAGTCCTACTTTCTCCCAACACACACACACACACCACCACACTGAGGCTCTCTGTCCCGAACCGCTACCTAATGAGAGGTGCCACTCGTGTCCACAGGCGCCACCACACTGACCACCACACCCAGCCGGGCTGCCAGCGCCACTGCGTGGATGAGAACCTGGAACGCAGGAACCACTACTTGGACCTGGCAGGCATCGAAAACTATACGTCCCGCTTTGGAGCCGGTGAGTGGGCCGAGGCCAAGGCTTTAGAGGGGGGCACACAAAGTGTGTGGCCCCTTTTGAGGCCGCATCCAGGGGCCCTTATTACTGCGGCACCTGCTTGGAGCCATTAGGGAGAACTAGCAGCCAGTACAAACATCTGGGCTCAGGCAGGCACAATACATCAAGTGTTCGAGGCTACGGCCCATCAACATGAAAGGGAAATATTAGGTCTAATAAGCAGCGGCCTTGATCTGACGGACGGTGATGACAAGTGGTTATTTTAATGTCGGTCCTGTTAGAAAAGTGCTAACAGAGATCTCCTCTCTGCCACACCGAGTCAGAATCATCAGCACGGAGAAAGAACCCTGAGAAGTGAAGCTGCTAGAAGTTAGCTGCAGGTTATTATTTATTCCAGTTTAATGAGCTCGTTTGGACAGGTCATGTGACGCAACTGTTGTTGTTTCCCCTCCGCTTCTGTTCTGCCGTTTATTCTGCCCTCTCGGTTGAAATGAATACCTGTGTCTGTCTCCCTCGCAGCTCCCACCCCAGAGCCGACGAAAGCGGAGCCTCAGAACCGCTCGTCCAACCAGGCCCGCTCTCGCTCCCACGAGCCGGAAAATGGCCACGCCCACTCCCACCACCACCGCCGCCTACAGACTGTTGTGGACGCGGTGGCCCCCGTCAGCCTCCACCCGGCCCGCACGCGAGTCCAAGACTCGGGCAAACACGCCCTCCGCTCTCCCAAGACCCACGGCCGCGCACCCCCCGCGCAGACGGGGGGCAGGGTGATGCGGAGCCGAGGTGTCCCGCCTCCCGCGGCGCTGCCCAGCCAGGCGCCCCCCCACCAGGCCGCGGCCCCCTACCGTAAGCACAAGCAGCGGTCCAAGGAGAGCCAGGGCTACAGGGCCGCGGGCGCCCTGGCTCCGGGGCCGGTGGTGGAGAAGGAGCAGGTGAGGGACCTGCCCAGTGTGCTGCTGTACGACGGGGGGCTGGCACAAATGGTGCAGCGGCATGAGCACCACCACCACCACGAACACCATCACCACTACCACCACTTCTACCAGTCCTGAATCTCCGCCCTGCCCGGGACAGCTCGGCTCTTCTAACGTCCCACAGAACCCGACCAAACAGACGCCGACCTTGAAGCTTGAAGCAACCTGAAGCTTCACTTCATCGTGCCTTCGCAGTGGAGGCGGGGCACGGGCGGGAGAGGAGCATCATGGGAGGAGGCTGGGAGGTTATTAATCCGTGTTATAAAGAGGTTGCTGGAACATCAAAGGAGCTCGGGTATGCAGCAGGACAGTGATTTAGGACCACAGTGGGACTGAGGATGGCTGCCGGAGCCACGCGAGGAGGCGCAGAGGGACAATTTGATCTTCAGTCCTCCTCCAGTGAGCTCTAACCAGCACCATGACCCTTCCAGACCCAAAAGGTTTTAAGGAAAAAGGACAGATGACACGAAGAGAGACTGTGATTAAAATATATGAAAGAATACAGGTGATGGGAGAGCGCGGCACATTGTGTGTGTGTGTGTGTGTGTGTGTGTGTGTGTGTGTGTGTGTGTGTGTGTGTGTGTGTGTGTGTGTGTGTGTGTGTGTGTGTGTGTGTGTGTGTGTGTGTGCAAAGAATGTGTGTGAGTGTCACGACACTGGTGTCTGTTGAAAACCACTTGAAGTGCGCTCATGCGTGTGTGTGTGTGAGTATTTAAAGCAGACTGTCTGGCAGGTTTTTGAAGATGAAAATGAAGATTCTGATTCAAGCATGCAACGCCACGTAAGCAAAAAAGGGGAAGGACAAATGTTGAAATGTTATAAAGGAAAAAAGAACAGAGATCCCAAATCCGCTGCTACCTCTAATGTTCTCCTAATTGTTAATGATGGTGATGTAATGGCGACTAAACATCTGGAGGTTATTTTCAAATTGTGTCATAATCGTGTGTGTCTAAAGGCTCCTTATTTCCATCGACTAACCCTGACTGTACATACGGTATATATTGGTATCAATTGTATAAGCTTTATTGATAATGTGATATCTTTGTTTTGACCATTCAAAGCTTTTATGGACGTTTTCCTTATCAATCGCATTTTATAAGACTAATTGGAGCCCCGTTTTGAGTACAAAATGTTCAGTCGCACTCTCCCTCTTTCTACATTCTCACCTTGTGATTTGATTCTTTAGTGTGATCTGGTACTAAAATCCCTCCTGATATTGTCTCCACATATACGACCCTCGTGCTGCTCAGGCAGTGTATGAAGTGCCCGCTGACTTGGAGTCTGAACAGTTCTTAAGGAAATGTATGCATATTTGCTTAATTGGTTCATTTTGCTTAAAACAGTTGGAGGCGTATTCATTCATCCGTGTGAAGTTTGGCCTTTATGTCTTTTATTTTTGCAGGGAAATATTTTAATGAGCATGCATGACACCCCCCTCCCCCGTTTTTTTTTTTTCTCGACCGCCGTTTCCTGACTTTCACCAAGCACTCACCCTGACTCGTAGTGCCAGGGGGTCACGCGGCTGCTCCCTCGGTTTCCATGGCATCCTCCCGTCCCTCAGCTGTCGGCAGGTCTTTCACCGTGCCGCCATGTGGCCTCCGCGCTCAGCCAACACGGCTGCGTTTGTGTCTCCGTCAGCTGTCTCATTCCTCTGGCGACGGATGGCGCTGAGCCCGGCCACCAGTCTCCACTGGACCCATAACTCACCCCGGTCGCTCCCCAGACAGCACCGGGGGCTGTCTGCTCCACCCGGGGATGCTCTTTTGGGGGCTGCCATTTAAAAAAAAAAATAAAATGCAGATGTGATATTGCAGCGGAGAGCTGATAATGTCAGCGAGTCAAGCAATTTAATTCAGAGGGCTTAACAATCTGTACACATTGGTACAAGAACCTTAGTGAGAGCGACAGACGAGAAGCGCAAAGGATGTCATGAGAAGGAAAAACCTAAAAGATCCCCAATCCGTTCGATGCGTATGACACAAATGATTCCTTTGTTGGAAGTAGGAAGTGGAATAAACATAATATAATACCAGCAGCAACTGTAGAGCAACAAGCAGTGATGGTGCCACCTTGTTGCTTCTCCAGCTCGGCAGTTAAGTTTCCTCACTCTTAGAGCACGTGCGCATGTGTAGAACCGACCTGCTCTCGTGCCCCAGTGGTCTTTAGTTAAAGGCGACCTCATCCATACAGACGCAATTAGATAATGATGGATTATGTTAACCAGGCCCCAAAGCCCCCCCAGCCTTCGACGTTAGATCCAGTCTAGAGGTTTGTGCACGTGCCTCGGAGGGTGTGCACGCGTGTTTTGCGAGGGGCAGGAATGCAGTGAACGCTGCTCCGGGCCCTGTCGTCCCGTCACAGCTGCAGGCCGTCCCTTTTTTTTTTTTTAACGGAGGCACCAGCCAGTCGGGTCCTCCCATGGGACCCCCCCCGCCCCCCTCATCCCCCCTAAGAATCCCAGCTGTGCTCCATGCCTCAGCTTCCTCACCTCCCACTGCTTTTCCCCAAAAACGTGCAACTGGAACTCCCTTTGGTCACTGGTGCCCCCCCGGTCTGAGACTGGGTCGGGGCCAGCGTGACTTGAGTGTAAGGGTGGGGGGGGGGGTTGGTCGGCTGGCTGGCTGGGTGGTCCGATTCGATTGAGCGTGGGCTCCCGAAGGAATTTGGTTAGGTTGCACATTTTTTAAACTTTTTTTCCCCCGGGGAGAGTTTTTACTGAACAGACGCAGCTCCTTTCTTTAAACGCCTCCCATCACATTCACACAATTGCGTGACCTCGGGTCAGAGAGCGGGCCACTACGACCCCCCCCCCCGCAGTCTTCAGAGCAGTGTTGGGGGAGGGTCCTCTCTGCTTTGTCACACAAACTCTAGAAATTACATTTGAAACCTTTTTAACATTTCTGCAACCTCCTGTCAAGGTCCCTCATTTGTGTCTTCCCATATAAATGTGTCTGTTTGGAATCTCATTAATGATTTTAATGTGTTCAGTCACCAGCTATCTAAATCCACCTGAATGTTTTTTTTGTTTTTTGTCAGTGCCTTTCTTTGTAGCAAATGTTTTTAAAAAGAGTCACACAAACCTCTTCATCCGCCATCCTCTGTCCTGTTGTATAAAGTCGTCAGTATTGTTATTATAATGTGTATCGCGCCACTAACTTGCTCTTTAACATCATGTACCAACATTCTTTTTTTAAACTGATGTATATATTGGACTTCAGAAATGATAAACCAGCATCCTGTAGAAAGAAAATGAGGCTTATTTATGATTAAAAAACCCTGTTAAGCTCCTTAACTTGCCTTCTGTCTGCTAGTACTCCATCAGCCCCACCGAGCAGGGAGGAGCAGTTCCCTCCACACAGGCACACTTCCACTTGGTGTTGTAAAAGAAAGTTGTTTAGCACTAGCTGTTTCTCTCCCCTCCCGCCCCTCTAGTTTATATAGATTGTATTTGATTCATTGCTTTATTTATTTGATAGCAGATCTGTGCCAAGGGGAAAAAACTAAAAAACTTTTATTAAAGTATGAACCTGTTCCTTATAAACTCACTGACTGTGGTCACTTTATTTTATTTAAATTGCATGTGTATTTACACAGTATGCTCTCAAAATATACCTGTAGAAATAAAAACATCTACTGTATTTGTGGCAAAAACCCATCCTTTTTATTGCGACATCAACCAACATGTGGACCTTCATTCATTTCTAGAAATATGCATATTTGCTTTCCTGCTGAGAGTTAAATGAACAGATCAATCGGCCCTTATACAGCCATTTATTTTTCCTCGTCCAGAGCGAATGAAACTGACGCGGCTTGTTGCGATGTCAGGTGTTTTTTAAGCGCCAGATGTCAGTAGATGACCACAGTGATGAAAAGTGAAACTGGTAAAGACGTGTGGCCGCACGTTCATGTTGCCTCATTCAACACATTGTCCATTTGTCATTTTTTGAATAAAAGATTAACAATGTGGGGGGTCCTATATTTATCCAGTGCAGGATTCACAAACGAGTCACACACTCCACACAGGAAAGGCCCCATCGTGTTACTGCGAGGAGCAAGTTCTGAGCAACCGTGTCCATACGGGACCTTTGAAGCTCGAAACGAGGCGACGCGGGTACGTTTGGTACCTTCGCCTTCCTACTGTCCAAAACCCCAACCTCCTGATTCCCACTACTCTCCCATGCCTTTTATTATTAGGCATCCATCTTTTCCTTTTATATTCTTTTCTTAATAGGTCAGCTGGATTTGATGTGAAAGGTATAACAGGAAATGGCCGTGTGTGTGTAGTGAAGTAAAGCGCCCCTCTGCTCTTTTAACTGGTGTAACAGAGTGCTCCCAAATCTGGCTGACCGCAGCTGCTCGCCACGCCACGCTCTCTACACGCACGCACACTTTCATCTGCAGCTTAGCAGCTTATCTCTGGTCGGGGGCGACTGCGGAGAGGCTGCCCCTTGGCAACGTGATACGCCTCCCTCTCACCAGGGCGGCTATTTGTGTACGCAATGCAGTGTGACCCGCGGAGCTTGTATCATCATTACAAATGGTTTCTATCCTCACCGCTTACATGGTTATTATTGCAGCTGCTTTACACATTCCGGCCATCGAAAGCATCCATATGAGAGGTGTAAAGTAATCCGTTGCAGTTGTGATAGCCACTTTACACACATTTTACTTCCTGAAAATGTTATTTTTCCGACAGAAGTATTTTAAATTTATGCTAAGTATGTAATGGATATTGAAACAAATCCCTTCCTTTGGATCATGTTGGAAAAAATCCAAATTAGAGGTACTAAAGTCAAAGTATTGACCAGAACCAATTATTTCTTGCCCCAAATTTGTTTAATTATTAACTTGCATGTCTTCCGTTTGGTAAACGGAAGCCATGTTCATACTTAGTTTATTTGTATACAGTAGACTAACTTTTTACCGCATCATGTATGTACGTCCACACAAAAGTACACCATCACCGTGATTATTCACGTTTTTCAGTGTTTGATGATTTTGTGTTTTGATGAAAGAATAGTTCTGCTCACAAAATGTCAAAGTAAAAAATGTCATTTTTAAAAGTTGTATTAGAAATGTAGTTAAATTACCCCAAATTTTCCAGTTTATTCCTGTTAATTCCCCTATATTACCGTTAATTCCCATGGAAAGTTTCCAACTTTGAAAATATTCCCGGAATCTTGCAACCCTAATCATGCAACCCGTCAGAAGAACACCTAATAATTAGCTTTACAAAGAATGAAAACCAACAAAAGTCAATTTGGCCTGAGAATTGAAAAGAAAACATGTCTGCACAGCTAGTATCAGACAGTTAAATAGTTGGATATTCAAGTTGTTTGTAAATATATACATATATATATAATATAAAAGGGAATCTGATAGACAATACACACATCACCATGGTGAAGAAATAGTAGTCGCTGCAGTTACTGAAGATAAAAATGAGTCGGGGTGACCACTTCACACTTCAGCCTCAGCGCTGCTTCACCAAAGGTTTCTTTGTAGCATCGTTGAAAGTAAAGAAACAGTCAAAGTGATTTAAGAATGAGCATCACTCCAAAATAAACAGTTTCATGAGGACTTGGCAAATAAAATCTTTTCATTTCTAATGCTTGCTGCATGAATATGCTTTGTTATATTTGCCATAACTAATGACGAAGAAAACAAGAGTTGGAGTTCTAAGCTGATTTTCGGACCTCTGTGAAGGCACTTTAAGTGATTATAAGTCATCAATCCACAAGGGAAACATTTACTGTGTTCTAAAATATATATCGTAGTTATGAACCAGGGCTCTTTGTCCTTTGTTTAAAAATAAAAAGACATGCTCCAAAACCCCCAAACTTCTTGGCTTGCATCTCCATTGCAAGTTTCACATGCGCTGTAGCCAGAGGGGACGTTGCTGTATCCTCCTGCATCCTCTCTTCTCTGCAGCCGGGCCTCAGACTTTTCTCTTTTTACTTTGACTTTGATCTACACTCCTTTCAACTCTTCACATATGTTGGTAATAGCCTTGGTGTTCATGGAGATTTTCTTCTCCAGTGCAGAGTAACGGTTGGATAATGCATTCACCCCTTTTGAAATGACGCCACTGTCTCTTCTGTTCAGCTCCTTTGGTTCGGGGCTCTTCAGAAGTTTTTCAGGTAAAAGAGTACGGGCTGTAGACTGTGTTTCAGATGCTGACGCTTAAGTTTGTTTTGGAATTTTGGAGAAAGATTGTTTGCTACGTTAAAATACATTCATTGCAAACGTTAGAAGGCTCACTCTCTCCGTCTGTTATCTTGCTATATATTTATCTTTAGAGCGGAAATACCAAAAGCAGTCCGATGCCACATAAAAGAGGTCAAAGAGGATCTATAGGTGCAAAGTGAACAGAGGTCAGCATCTTACAACATGGGCAAAGGCTGACTGATCATTTATAGATCAGCATTATCTGCAGCACTTACAGTGAGGTATTTAAGAATACAATCTGCACATTTTCTTTCATTTTATTACTCTACCTGCACCCGAGAGGATATATCATTTATACCACGGTGCCAACTGTGGAGTCTAATTAATGGTGACAGCTTTATCGAGGTGTGAGGAACATGTACCTTCGTTTTTGTGGATCCATGACTGAGGCCTTATTTAGAACACCGGCCTGGTCCGAATTCCGTTTTTAGACTCCATCAATGGGTCTAAAAGGTAAATGTGCTTCCATTTAATCCCTCCTCTCAAGGCAAAAAACATCTGGATTCGGCTATTAGTATCAGTAAGTTTACTGTAGTGCCGTAGTGCAAAGTTAATTGATCTCCCAAAATGATGCCTTGCTTTATAGATGCTGTTATTTGTAAAGCAGGTGGACATTTCCACTTCTGGTTCAGTCACTTGAGGCCACCTGGTCCCAAAAATACTTTCCCCATTGACTTAAATTGGGAAGGATCTTTCTGACCTACATTTTTACTCCGGTATTGCAGCCTATTGGGGGCTCATGCCAGGAAGGTTACTGAAAAAAGTGTAATTATAGATGAATTTCATTCAGAGAATAAAAGCCCCATCTCTGTCCACATGTAGAGCTAACAGCTTGTTGACTGTCACACACACACATTGTGCATCAGGTTGTTAGATAAACCTTCCCTGTGCATGTGCACTGATTTGTTCTGTGGGGAGAGGTGGGTTTCAGGTAACGGTCTTTTTGTGTAGAAATAGCCCCCATCACTCGTGTTGGCACTGGCAAAAAAAGCAATGATATTGACTTAAATACAGGCAAATGAGAGGCTGCCGTGATGTGTTGTGTGGGCTTTGTTTCCAGCAGATAGGCATACGGCTTTGAAGTGTGGATTGGCACAGCAGGGTGCAAGCGACTCTTAAGGCAAGATGCTAAACACTGAGGATGAGAAGGACGTGAGGTAGTCTATTACCAATACAGGACCAAAGAGAAGAAGAAAAAAGGCGAAACCGAGGATAATGTACATCTGTTCCAGTGAATTTATGAGCTTTGAACGTTTTTTTTCATGTGGGATGAGTGGATCCTTTTTCTTACAGAATCTCACAACTTCAAAGTAGATTGGCTTTGGATAATGCAAATGATCCGAATATGCAGGTTCCTGCCTACTCAAGTGCATGAGAAGAAAGGGAGAATTAACACTAATTGGCACAGATGTCGTTTATGTGTGGAAAGAAGGGCAAAAATACAACACTTCAATTATTGTCAAGTTCATTCAATTAGAAAACAAGCTGACAAAGTTCAGTGTGCCGGAGCCTCTAGCCGACTGCATCAAATGTCACTTTTAATTGTGGACAGCCCCTTTGTTATATCTGGTGAAATTATAATTAGCAGGATTAAATCCCCCCTATAATCACCGAGCTGGCAGTGGAGAAAGAGGCTCCTTTGTTCTGCACTGATGCGGAGGTGGCCGCGTCTTAGAAGGTTATTCATTTCATTTTTCTATTTTAATGTCCATGCACAGTTCTTAGACTATTAATCCATTGCCCTCTATGTACGCGTTAAAAGTGTCCAGTCAATATGACAAGTGAGTCAAAACGCAACGCATGTGGCAAACACAAAGAAAACGACGCTCCCTCAGATTAAAGACAGTCTTTTGGTTAGTGAACTACAAAGGGCCCGTTTGTGTTCGGGGGACATTTTTCCTCGTTCTGTGTCATCAAACGACGCAGAATAGCAAATAACATCCTTTTTAGGATAAAAGCTGAACAACCAGGGAAAAAAAAGGGACAGCGGTTTTAAGTTGAGTCATTTAGATGGACCGAAGACAAGTTAAATGTTCCTGCGTGTGTGTGTGTGTGTGTGTGTGTGTGTGTGTGTGTGTGTGTGCACAAGGCTGTGACCCTGAACCTGATATCAAGGAAGACGGGACAACTTTCTCATAGATTATTTCTACCAAACTTACTCTCCTTCATAAAAAGAAGGATGTGTCTGGTGGCACTCAATATCTTTTTTATTATTGTCAAAGAGTTCCCATGAAAAAAACAACTATAACTTGACCACACTAAAAAGTCTGCCGTGTTATTATTATTATTGCTGCCGCTGTTGATCTGAAACTGTTAA